GGCAAGAGAGCCACAAACAGTCCCAGGCCTATTTCCGGCAAACCCCAATGGAAAAAAGAGCTTCCCCTCCACAGTAGTTGAAGCAACACTGTTCATTAGCCCAGCTTCAGTTCCATGCCCATCACTGACCTAATCCCCGTGGCCAGGGGGCTGACCTGCTCTGACTGGCTAGATCTAGTCTTGGGCTGATCCCTGGGGACCCTAGACATTCAACCCCATTTGAAACTATGTATACTTAGGGAAAGAGATATGAATTCTCTGGAGAATCTGGGTGCTCTGAGAGGAGGAATGGATGCTGGGCAGGCAAACTCAAGAGTTGAGTGGCGGCACCCACTAAAACGGTGGCTGCACCAGGCCTTCTCTGGGGACACAAGGCACCTGCTGCCCAAATGTGCATAATGTGTGATCCTCCTCTGGAAGCTTTCCTCAGGGACGAAATGCTTCTTACTCACCTTTGGCCACCTAACACTCTCCCCTAAGGGACTGGCCAGTGACTTACATTACAGTTTCTCAGTAAGAATTTGCTGACGTTATGAAAGAATGAATGAGGAACCGTGCTAGGGCTGGGCCCCAAACTTTTATTAACTGTGAGGTTAAAAGCTATCGAGGGTCAGGGGCACCACAAAGGGGCAGAGGGAGTGAGTCAATTAACACCTGCCTTTTTATTTCCAAATCGAATTGTTGCATGAGGTTTAGAGATGATGTAACCACTCGGCAGTGTCGGGGTAGGATTTATGAGCCATGGCATGTGGAGCAATGGTTTGAATAGGCAGCTGGTGAGAGGCATTTACCCCGACTGCCCTCACTTGGAAGTCTCCCTAAAATAATGGCTGCAAGGTACTTTGGCACTTATAAACCCCTCCCCCTGTAGCCAGAGTGGATCTGAGTTGAGTCACTTTTTCCTGGGCTGGTTTAGAAGGGTGTCCGGTTCAGGCATGGCTTCATGCAGGAAAGGGAAGGGAGTGGGAATATTCAGGAGTAGAGGGAGGAACGGGTAGACAGAATAAGAGATGAACTCCAACTGGCTCCCAGGAATGCGGACCTGACCCCACTGGAGTCTTCTGAGGTTTGTTTGCATTTGAGTAGGGAATGGTATTAGCCAACCCAGAGTTAATTCCATTCACTGTCTCCTACCAGGATTAGCCTCTGCTGGGAGTCTCTGGGAATGGAGTTGGTATGGTTGGACTCACTGACCACTCCATGGCCTACTGTAGACAAGGAAAGAAGGCACACCTCCCCTCTAGCCCTTCCCACCAGTGTCTGGGACTGAATGATGGATTTTCGACTGGGTCATTAAGTGCTGATTAAAGTACTAGGGAAAAGAACAGGAGGGGGAAAAAAAACACAACATCGAATGTTGTACATACATACACACTCCCACCCCAGGCACCCCCCTTCCCTTTTCTCAAGCTGCCTCAAGTTTGTTCCAACCCTCCATTGGAAATGCTATAAAAGGCCAGGTTAATTAAGTCCTATATATTACCAGCACAAACACTTCCAACTTTATTCTGGCGGCTCAGTGAGTGAGGAGGAGGCCAGGCAAGGTCCAGGCAGCTCAGGGTAATAAAACAGAAGACTCAATTACCTTGTACATTTGCAGTTTTTATAAAATCATTTAAAGTTCTCCCAATGAAAAGCACAGTGGAGAGGGACTGGAATCCTGAAATCCAGCAAGAGCTTAGAGAACCAGGGATTTTAGAGCAGCTATAGTTAAGAAAATCATCTTGTCCATCCCCCTACTTCTGGGAAGGGAGGCCAAGGCAAATTATGAAGGAAGGAGAAAGGGAAAAGGACCCCCTAACCATACACTGAGTTCCCACTGAGTCTGGAATACTATGCTGGCACCTTACTTAACCTGTTCTGGTAGGTATTATCCCCATTTACAGATGAGAAGACTAAGCAGAATGAGTCTATGTTACCCAACCAAGAGAGACCCAAAATCCAGAGCCTGTTATACTCTGATTCTTGCCCCTCCCTTTAAGCTACCAGGCCTGTATCTGTACAACATAGCCCAATGTTAAGAGAACAGTCCCTGGAGTCCATGTGAACCCCTGGATTCAATCACTTCCTAGCTGTGTGCCTTTGGACAAATTATTTAACTTCTCTGAACCTTAGTAAGTAGTCTCCTCATCCTTGAAAACAATTTTAGTACCTTCCTCACAGCATTGAGGATTAAATGGGGGGAGGGGCAACTGGATGGCTCAGTTGGTTGAGCATCTGACTCTTGATTTCAGCCCAGGTCATGATCTCACGATTTGTAAGTTCAAGCCCTGCACTGGGCTCTGCACTGACAGTGTGAAGCCTGCTTGGGATTCTCTCTCTCTCTCTCTCTCTCTCTCTCTCTCTCTCTCCCTCCCTCCCTCTCTCTCTTCCCCTCCCGCTCTCTCTCAAAATAAATAAATACACTTTTTAAAAAAGAGGATTAAATGGGACGGTGTGTAAAATGCTCAGCCCACAGCTGATACATACTGTACAGTATGATGCATACTGGTTATTATCGTGATTATTATGCAAGCTATCCTTCAACTTGTCATGACCAGCTCATTACATTAGCCAGGGTGACAGCAAGTGAGCCAGTTACACTAGCCACGCTCCTGTGCTAAAGGGACAGAGGAGCCCTCCCAGCTTCCTCCTCTACACCACAGAGAGCCAATTCACAAATAGATTACCCTACTTCTTAGTCTCATCAAAGGACAGGAACCTCTTTCCTGCTGACAGATAAGTAAAAAAACAAATTGGGTGTTTTTTTCTTCTTCAAAAAACAGAAACTGGGGCATCTGGGTGGCTCAGTTGGTTAAGCATCCAACTTCGGTTCAGGTCATGGTCTCGTGTTCGAGCCCCCTGTAGAGCTCTGTGCTGACAGCCCAAAACCTGGAGCCTGCTTCGAATTCTGTGTCACTCTCTCTGCCCCTCCCCTGCGCATGCTCTCTCTCAAATATAAACATTAAAACAATTTTTTTAAACAGAAACTGTTCAGTTGTTCAATATACCTGCTCTTTCAGGAATGGGAGTATAAAACTTCAATTTAATAGCTGCCCCCAGAGAAAGAAATTATTCTCTGAACACTAGACACAGTGACTCAGAGCAATGTTTCCCAGAAGGTTGGAGAGAATTTAAGCCCAAAGTTCCCTCATCTCGACCAAATGTCTCAGGGCCTCAGGGGGAGGACCTAAGTGAGGATGGAGCTAAAAATGTGTGCAGCTACCCCATCAGGGAGGCGGTGTATGGCATGTGGAAGATACTTTAACCACTGTGTGTTGACTGAATGAAGGGTGTTGTGTTACTCTCAAGTCCTCTTGTGTGGGAAGCTTCCTCTGAGCTAGGCCCATGAGGCATGCTGTATTTTCCAAAAATGGCCACAGTAATATTTCCAATCCCACCTGCTCTTCTAGAACCTTAACACTCACCCATCCAGAAGGTAAGTCTACTTCTCCTCTCTTGAAGTTGGTAGGACTTTGTGGCTACCTCAACAAATGATATGTCACCAATGTGATACTGTACAAGTAGCAAAACTAAGTCATAAAAGGCAATGTGGCTTTCACCTGGCTCTCTCACACAGGAATCTAGCTACTATATTGTGAGGAAGCCAAAGCTATACAGGGAAGTCACATATAGATATTCTGGCCAAGAGTCCCAGCTAAGGTCACAGCCAAAAGCTAACAGCCAGCACCAGCAACCAGACATATGAGCAAAGGAGCCCCCAGCTACTGAGTCACCAGGAGCCTTCAGATCGTCCAGATGAGACCACACATTGGGAGCAGAGACAAGGCATCCATGCTGTACCCTATTCAAATTGCTGACTCCAAGAGTCTATAAGCATAATATATGGCTGTTTTATACCACTAAGTTTGGGATAATTTTTAACTTAGCAATAGACAAACAGAATAGCCAACCATGCCTTTCAATGCCAGGTTCAGTTCTGGGGGCTGCTATGTAAGAGGGTCATTCACCAACTGAAGAAATTCCTGAGCATTATATAATCAGGATGGGAGGGACATGGAATTCTGACCTTAATGTTGACAGCTGGAGATGGAGTCTGGGTAGGGAGAGGGTTCAGTCATGATCTTCTTTTCCTTGACGAAGGAACAGGCTTGTTCTGGGCAGCAGTGTGGCACAGCAGGACAGGAATAGACTTTGGAGTCAGATGACCCTAGGCTCCAGCTTTCCTTTCTCCCTTCTCACTAACTCTGTGACTTGGAAAAGTCAGGCCACTTCTCTGAACCTCAGATGGGAGTAATAATGTTTCTCTTGCATTATGTTTACACACATTAAATAAGATCAATACAGGTGACTTGCTTAGCACAGAGACCCTTAATGTTCTCATAAAATTTATTCTGGCTTCCCACTCAAAGCATCAAATAAATAGGAGGTATTTATGGAAAGGATGCTGCATGACATCTCTTCTGGGTTAAGGATGGGAAAGAGGATTCCAGCATAACTCCTTATCTCAGCAGAGTGCTGGAAATAGGCATAAGAAGGTGAACACAGATCAAATGTGTGGCTTTAATAGCAGCAAATGCCCAATAACTGCCAAAGGAAGAAGTGCAGTTGTAGCCTGGCATTTTCTCTGTAAGGAGATCTTTAATGAAGCATTCATATTCTTTAATAGTTATAAGATTACTTAGGCTTTCTATTCTTTTGTCAATTTTGATACCTTGTGTTTTTTCTAGGACTTTGTCCATTTTATCTAAATTTTCAAATTTATTGGCTTTGTTCAGCTTCCTTTTTAATCAATCATGAAGCACCTCCTTTTCTCAAACCCTTAAAATTAGGTTGTGGGGTCACTCCATGGACTCTTGTCTAGTGGTCATGGAGGTAATGGTTTTTGGTTTTTTTTTTAATGTTTATTTATTATTGAGAGACAGAGACAGAGTGCAAGTGTGAGAGGGGCAAAGAGAGGAGACACAGAATCCGAAGCAGGCTCCAGGCTCTGAGCTGTCCGCACAGAGCCCAACGTAAGGCTCGAACCCACAGACCGCAAGATCGTGACCTGAGCTGAAGGTGGACTCTTAACCAACTGAGGTACCCACGTGCCCCATGGAGGTAATGTTTTTGCCATCACCCATACAACAACCTGTGGGGAGTCCCCAGGTACATTTTCCTGGACACGCCCCGCCCAGTGCAGAGTGGTGAAGGTACTCTGAGCGTTAGCAAATTAGAACTGCTACCTTTAACTCACCCAGAAAGTTCAAGGGAAAGCCAAATTCCTTCCCAGCCTAGGCTCCTAAAGACAGCTCAAATGTGCCCCTGGAGGATTGTGGTTAGGGTCCATTTAGCCATCTCCTCCACCCTGCCTCCAGTGTATAGCCCCTGCACCTTCTTCTCTCCTCACTGATTTCCCAAGCTGAACAGGCTGTGTGACCTCACTTTGACAATAGTCAGGCGTGTCCCACTCATCCGTGTTGCTAGTTTATGTCCCCACAGAGGACAAGCAACATCTAGCAGCTGGGACATGGAGACACAGGGGGAAGCTTATAGGGTGATGAGGCGTTATCTGTTTATCCAGGTGACCTCAGGTGTGTTTATGCTAAGTGAGAAATGAACAGGCATGACCTCAGCAATGGTGAGAGGTGTGTTTGGGGTATACCCCACTGTTCACCTTTCCCAAGGGAGCCCCTTCCTTCTTGACAGTTTCAGAGAAACTATATAGGATGGTATCGGTGGCTGATGCTCCTAAGCCCTTACCTCCTGGGGAGTGCCCAGCTTGCAACTCCTTCCTTCCATCTCCCTCATCTGTTGGGTCCTTCCTGCTACCCAGAAGCCTCCACCCCAGAAAAGCAGCCATCCCTGAGCTCTGTCTCTTCCAAGGGTGGTTGCCCTGAGGGCCCTGGCAGCCTTGTCCCCCATCTGGCACCCAGCTGAGGACAGCAGAGGACATAAACAGCTGCCGGGCCTGTCTCAGGGTCAAAGGTCCCAGCAGACTGAGTCAGAAATTGGCTACTCAGCCAGCACTGGAAACTGGTGCTTTGAGGGATGAGTCACTACCCAGCTGGGCACTGAAGGGGTTAAAGGAACATGGTAGAAGATAGGAGAGCAGGGGCACACTGCACTGCTGGAAAAAAGCTAGCCTTGTGCATGGATAATTAGAACTGAACATCAGTAAACAATGCCTTTTCCCCTCATTAAGGACAAATCTGTATGTATAATGTGCCTATTTTCTCTTTCATTAACTTATAAATGGCCACTACTTTAAAGCCATTTAACTAGCAGTTTTGACTTGCCCATCAGCTCTGGGTCTGACATGTTTTCACCTCTCCTGCACAGACAGAGGTCCCCACCTCAGCACCAGCTCCCATGAAGGGAGAGGCCCTGTGCGTGCTCCTCTGAGATGCCACAGACAGGCTCCTCTGGCACAGCCAGGGCACAGCCTCAAGTCAGTGGCCAGAACCGATTCTGAGTGCTCTTTTTGAGGAAGACATGGTCACAGCTAAAGCGGAGCTCTGGGCGCCCCACTTCTGCTCCTGACTGTTCACTGTTTGTTCTCTCCCAGGAACAAGTCAGTCAGGAAGCCCCGCTGCAGCCATGGCTTTTAAAGACGTCCAGAAGACATCATGGAACCAGAGGTGGGGATTCACCAGTGAAAATTACTCTAACCAGCCACAACATAAAATCTTTAGAGAAGGTATGTACTGACTTGATCAGAGGTGCAAAAGGAAAGAATCTAAAGGGAAAGAACAAGTTCAAATGTCCACCAAGCCTCTGAGAATCACCACAAGAAAAACTCATGGTAAAGACTTCAGATCGTTTTCAGATGAGGATCCACAAGCGACTCATTAATTTACACAGTCCTTCTGAGATTGTTAAGCAGATTACTTCTATCAGTATTGAGCTAGGAGTCAAGATTGAAGTCACCATTGCAGATGCTTAAGTCAAACTTTTTATTAAACTGATTATCAGTTGTTGTTTAAAAAAAAAAAAATGATTTTGAGCATGGGCAGTAGAGACAGACCAAATCCTGGCACTTCCCCTCACTATGTGACCTTGGGAAAAGTACTTGGCCACTCTCTGCCTCAGTGACCTGGCCTATAAAATGGACATAGTAATCCCCACATCACATGATGGGCACCCAATAAATTACAGCCACTATTATTAATAATAAATTAATTGTAAAGAATAAATACACAATAATAAAACTCATGTAGCATTCTTGCCAAGAATGTTCAAACGATATTCAGTCATGACGAAACAATCAGACAAATCCAAATTCAGAGACATTCTAGAAAACTTGCCTGTAGGGGGGCGCCTGGGTGGCGCAGTCGGTTAAGCGTCCGACTTCAGCCAGGTCACGATCTCGCGGTCCGTGAGTTCGAGCCCCGCGTCGGGCTCTGGGCTGATGGCTCAGAGCCTGGAGCCTGTTTCCGATTCTGTGTCTCCCTCTCTCTCTGCCCCTCCCCCGTTCATGCTCTGTCTCTCTCTGTCCCAAAAAAATAAATAAACGTTAAAAAAAAAAATTTTTTTAATAAAAATAAAAAAAAGAAAACTGCCTGTACTCTTCAAAAATGTCAGTCATGAAAGACCAAAAGATAGATATAGATTGATTGATAGATAGATAGATAAAGGAACTGTTCTAGATTAAAGAAAACTAAAGAGACATATAGCTAAATGCAAAATGTTTTCCAGGTTTAGATTATAGATTTAAAAACATATATCTAGGGGCGCCTGGGTGGCGCAGTCGGTTAAGCGTCCGACTTCAGCCAGGTCACGATCTTGTGGTCCGTGAGTTCGAGCCCCACGTCAGGCTCTGGGCTGATGGCTCGGAGACTGGAGCCTGTTTCTGATTCTGTGTCTCCCTCTCTCTCTGCCCCTCCCCCGTTCATGCTCTGTCTCTCTCTGTTCCAAAAATAAATAAACGTTGAAAAAAAAAATTTAAAAAAATAAAAAAATAAAATAAAAACATATATCTATAAGGACCATTATTAGGACAATTAGGGAGATATGGATATCAGCTATATACTATATAATAGTAGTATAGTAATTTAAATTTCTTGGGTGTGATAATTACACTGTATAAATGTCCTAGTTCTTAAGAGACATGTGCTTAAATATTTAGGGATAAAGTGTCAAGATGTTTGAAAATAACTCTCAAATAGTTCTGAAAATCACACATGTAGATTCTGAGGACAAAAGACAGAAAGACAAGAGAATATGAGGCAAAATGTTAACAATCAGTATATCTAGGTAAGTATACATGTGTTCCTATTCTATTTTTCCAATTTATTTTGTAGATTGGAAATTTCTCAAAATAAAAAAAAAAATTTGAAAAGTGAAATCTTTTTTTAATGTCCTCTTTTAAAGTTTATTTATTTTTGAGAGAGAGAGAGATAGAATGCACACAGGGGAGGGGCAGAGAGACAGGCAGAGAGAGAATCCCAAGCAGGCTTCATGCTGTCAGCACAGAGCCTAATATGGGGCTTGAACTCACCAACTGGGAGATCATGACCTCAGCCAAAAGCAACAGTCAGACTTTTAACCAACTGAGCCACCCAGGTGCCCTGAAAAGTGCAACCTAATGGTTTTAAAAACTGTGATGCAGGGTAGCTACCTAGCTGACTGGGGAAGGAGGGGGTGACTGACTGGTTTCTGGACTTCTGGGATGCCCTGTTTCTTGAACTGGGTATGTTCACTTTGTGAGGATCCATTGAGCTGGGCACTTATGATTGCTCTTCTTTTTGTGTATATGTTACTTGTCAATAGGTAAGTTTCTTTAGAATAATCATAATAATAAAGCACCCCACAACCTCATATCCTCTGACCTGGTCCTGTAAATGCAATGATGGGCCCCAGGCTGGAGAAAAGGCTGGAACCGGGTCACCCTTCCCTAACGGTGTGTCACATCTGAGAGGACAGGAAATGGGGCCTGCAATGATGACAGCCTGCCTCGCAGCCTGACCCTGTGGGGAGATAGCAGGCACCATCCAGAAGGTGTCCCAGCCTGCCCCTCTGAGCCATGCCCAACTTCTGCTGCCATCCTTGCAGTGGGAGCTTAGCCTTGACTCCACCCTTCTCAGACCTCGGTATCCTCCTCCCCTGTCAGCCCTGTGGACCCAGATGGATGTGGGCTTGATGAGGCATCTCATCTTGTGAAAGAAGTAAGTCCAGGGGTCACATTTTCCTCTCTTTGCATTGTTCCCCCATGTGCTCGATCTGATATGCTTCACTACCTGGATGCCCACACATACTCACATCTCTGCATTTTGCAGATTAATTGCTCAAGTCTTCATCTGCCTGAATTAATAGGAATAAAAAAATGGCTAACACATAGAGCTTACTACAATGCCAGATCCTTTTCTAAGTACTTTATGCATATAACTCAACGCTTACAAAGCTGAGGCAGATAATTTTTTTAGCCATTTTACAAATGGGGGAACTGAGGCATAGGGAAGTAAAGTAATTTGCCCAAGCAGGTCTGGCTACATATTTGCAGGGCCCAGTGCAAAATGAAAACACGGTGGCAGGGGGTGGGGAGGCTTATTCAAAATTATTAAGACTTTCAAGGCACTAAGCATTAAGTCAAGTGTGGGGCTTATTTAAGGCTCCTGTGAGACTGCACAGGTCAGCAGCACTTGAAACCAGACTTGTGCACAAGACAAACCAGCAAGAAGCAGAGTAGAAACTTGACCCCCAGCTGTCTGATGCCAGAGTCCATCCTCCTAACCACTATGCTACCCTACCTCTCTAACTCCGAGTGTTCCTCCTCTCACCTTTTGGTAACTGTCCAAGAACTGGAGATCCTTACTCAGTACATCAGCACCGGTCTCTAAAAGCCAGGCAGACAGAACTGAAGAGTCATAGCAGTCTGCTGCCACAAGGGGTCACTGTTGAAAACAGGTCCTGTACAGTTTTTGACACCATACCCACAACTCAGTGCTGCCCTTGCTCCTCCAACCCCTGGACACGCACAGCGCACATGGGCCCCACACTTGGGCTCCAAGGTGCAATTCTTTTACTTCACACTCATATTTGCAGCCATTGTGTTCCCACAGCATGACCACTGCAGGCGTGTCTGGGTCAGAAGGGTTTCTGCCTGGCCACCTACTAGGTGGACACCAGCACGCCCCCTAACAAACATCTAGGCTATGATATTAGCTTGATTCACCTCTTCACATACCCCATTTCCTCATGGTGAGTTTCCCCCGGAGGTCCTTTCTATCTTTTCCTGCTAAAGGATCTCAGAGGAGCCCAACTCAGGTCATCAGAAACTAATCTAGTAATCTGAAACCCAAAAGGGAAGGGTCAGTCAGAGTCTTTACTCGAGTCCTCCCAAGAGGCTATTTGGCCCATATACAAATACTCCCACCTTTGTACACCAAAACCTTCTTAGAATCACAGTATTCCTTGTTGCACCCTTTTTCCAAAGCAATTTTTTTACATGTATTGATTCAAGTAATCACTACACCCAACATGGGGCTCGAACTCATGACCCCAAGATCAAGAGCCACATGCTCTTCTGACTGAGCCAGTCAGGCACCCGTCCAAAGCAATATGTTTGCCTATTTACCTCAGAGTTCCTTAACTAGGAAAAAAGGCATTACTTATTTGCTAGAAAATCTAATTTTGCCTTACTAGGAACTCCATTACACAAAGTTAACATGACTGATATATCAATGTCACACCCAGATACTTTCTTAATAACACAGGTGACTAAAAGGGGTTAGAGAATGAGGCTTTCAAGGATGAAGGACTGGAGGTGGGACGGAGCTAGTGACATTAGGTACTATAACCTCACTCATGCCCACGGCTAGTGAGGCCCAGAAATGTCTGGATTCCTCCCGGTACCATGGGCATCTCTGCAATCAGGCATCCACCCTCTGAGTTCCCCTGGTTAGAATGGTGGTCAGCTGCAAGTCTGCAAGTAACAATACCAACCAACAGTGGGCTAGAGCTTCATCATTCTCACCTGACAGGACTCCAGACGTTGGATGGTTACTGGCCTTGGTTTGCCAGCTCATAGCTGATATTATTACAGTTCTCTTGGTCTTTCCCTTGTGGAGGCTGATGGCTGCTGCGGCTCCAGCCTTTCAAGTCTGCATTCAAAGCAGAAAGGAGAAAGAGCAAGAAAGGACAGCATAAGCAGCATCCAATGGCTTTTATCAGGAAAGCAAAAGCCTTCCTAGAGCCCTAGAAGGTTTCAGCTTATGCCCTGTTAGTCTGAACTGTGTCATATGCCTTCCCTCCCTGCAAGGGAGTCTGGGGAAGTGAGCCTCTGGTCTGCAGCTCAGACATTATCTCCTCGAACAAAATTGGAATGTTGAAGCTTCCTCCTACAATCTTCCCAGGAGGTACTGGGCCCCAGGGCCCCTGCCCGACAACCCCAGGAACCCTCCCAGAGGAGCCCCTGCCTTCCTTCGGCCCTCTCAGTACGCCAGGCAAGAAGGGCCCACCCGGGATTCCCCCGAGCAGAAAGCCCAGCTGACTCTGCTTTGTACGAGGTGATTAATGGTGCTCTGGTGAGCTGGAAGGAGGTGGCTAATTAGCTGTGGACTGATTAAGGACAAGGCAGGCAAAGTTCCAGGCGTGATAAACATGAACTTTCCATCTTCCTCCCCCCTTCCCTCCCTCCCTCCATGTCCTGCCACCACCAGCAGAAGCCAGGCCTGTGGCAACCCTCACAGTGTGCCTAGCCAAGACACCACCAGATATCATCCAGCCCACCGTCGACACTGCCGGCCACCAACCAGACCACTGTGGCAGGGACGCACATACCGGATCTTCTTTCAGGGTTTGACTTCTCCAGCCTTTCCCCAACCTCCTGGCTCGCTAGCACGGAGGCATGCTATCATGCCCAGGGTTTCTAAAACAGTCTCTGCCTTAAAGAATCTACAGCTGAGGGCTGTAGAAATCCACACGGGGGTAAGCCTAGTATGATCTGGAGTTGCCAGGCAGAGTTCCGGGGAGGGGCCTCCGGTGGATTTTATGGGCGGAGTGGTCCTCAGGAGAGAAAGGCGGACACGTGCGCATGCGTGAAGGACAAACACGCTGCGTACAATCCTGCGCAGTGAGCAATCTGGAGACTACACGAGACAGGGGCGAAGGCGCGGGCAGGATGGGGAGAAGGACAAATAGGAAACAGGGGTTTAGATGTGTGTAGCACAGTTGCTACCAGTCTTGGGTCCAATACAACACGTGCATCCACGTGTGTGACGCCCTGTGGGCAGTACAGGGTGATCACCACCTCCAGCTGGGACATCTCGTCTATATCTCGCACTCCAGAGGGCACCTGCCAGGTACAGGCAAATTCATCCCGCTGTGGCTGAGCTGAGGTCTGGCAAAAAAGCTCTCTGACACAAGAATGTTACACAAGATAAGGCTGTGATAAGGACAAAGGATACATTTCCGCAGCAGATAACAGGAGAAATTCAGTGAGTGTGACCTCTCAGGTCTCTTTGTCTACACCCAAGAGACAGGCTTAGCAGCAGGCAGAGTGAATGCCTTTCCAGGGGAGGGCTTGGGAAGTAGCCCACCCCACCGACCTTTGCCTGGGTCACTCTTACCCATTCCTTGGTTCTCAGCTCAAGTGTCATTTCTTTGGGGAAGCTTCCCTGACCCCTCCTATATCAGATTCTCTGTATTTCCCTTTGTCAAGTGCATCACAGCTTATATATTAATGCATTTGGGTGACAGTTTGTCTTTACTACTGTAGATTCAATCAGCAAATACTAATTTTTGCCACAAAAATTTTGCCACAAACTGTTAAATTCAGAGAATACCGTGAGACATGGACGAGCCCTCATGAAGCTTATAGGTTAAGCATAAATATCAGCTGATAGCTAAGTAGGGGTCCACCCCAACTCCAGAGGTAAGACTCCTCGCAGCCCCAGAAGAACAATGGGACAGCTCAGGCCCATTCAACTCCTGGCCTCAAGCCACCCCAGAAGGGCCTCCAGGTGTGGGTGTGCAGGACCCAAGCTGCCTAAACTCCTCCTTCCCAATGGAGGCATTCCTTCCTCCAGCTGCTGTGAGCATTGGCTGTTAAGAGCTGGAGTCCCTCTCCAGGACTTGACCTCAGCCAAAGAGAGGCACGTCATTACCCAGAGTGATGTCTGACCTGATGTCTGGTCATTTGAAATGACAAAGGCCTGCACCCCCATCCTTGCCTCAATGCAGGACATTTTTGAAGAATCATCCCAGCTTCAGAGCTTCCCATGGGGCTGCTGAGTGATGTCTGCCCAGTCCTACCTCCCTCCACTTAAGCGGTTGTTCCTGAGAACACTCCCCAATAAGACTAGTATACACAAATCTTGAGTCTCATAGTTTGCTCCTGGGGAACCTGAAATCCACCCCAGTGTGTGATTGCATCTGTCTGGAAGAAAGGCTCCTGTTTCTAATCTGCATGTAGTTGTCCTTTTATGACTTAGCAGTAGCCAGGTCCACCCCCCCCCCACCACCACCACCAACTTGAGCACCTAACGGAGAACACAAGCCAGCACCAGAGTGGCCTTGGCACAGGCATGGGGAGGGAGTCGAGCCTTGTAGCCGAGTGATTTAGAAGACCCTAGAGGAATGTATATCTGTGAGAAGAAGCCCACCAGCCCCTGGAGTCTGATTCTAGCTGATTAAGAAGCACCCAGGGCCAGTATTTCAGCAAGACAACTGGGAAATAAGCTGAGAGAAATTGTTAATCTAGGGATTCCCAACAATGTGGAAGGTGTCAGACCAGCCCCGAACACCCTAACTCAGGCCCAGTGTGTGGGAAGTGAGAACTCTCCTGGGTGGGTGCAGAAGGGGGGTGGGAGAAGCAGGAGGGAATTAGACTAGCACAAACTTCGTAATTGAAATCATTAATAGCAGTAAAATAAGTTGTCCATCCTACATGTAATTTGTAGTAATATTTGGTTACTGAGATTAATTTCTAGTAATGAAATACTAATTAAACCATTTATTGAGTAATGTATTTTCTTGGTGGTGTTTTATGGGTGTTCACTTATAAATATTTTAATTACTTTTGCTAAGTAATTAGAATTTACTAAATAATTTCCAAACTATTTATTAATTTCTAACAATTCTCAGCCAACCAACAAGTAATTGTTTTACTTTATATCAGTAATTAAAGTCTTTTTTTTTTTAACTTTGAGTGAAGAGAAAGACAGTAATAAAGACAGTCTGTTCTATCACGCAGGGTTGGGTGTATTAAAGCAAAAACAGACATAAAAATCACCCCCTTAATCCAACATTACTTAAACACTGTTACCATTTTGGGGTTTTTATTTGTTTGTTTATATCTTAAGAGAGTTTTTGTATGGGTGGATGTTTTTTGTTTTTTTTTTTTTTTCAAAATTGAGATAACAACTATATACTTTCTGGCCACAGAACTCTGCCAGTTTTTTAAAAAAAATTTTCATGTTTATTTATTTTTGAGAAAGAGAGGGAGACAGAGTGTGAGCAGGGGAGGGGCAGAAAGAGAGGGAGACACAGAATCCAAAGCAGGCTCCAGGCCCTGAGCTGTCAGCACAGAGCCTGATGGGGGTGCTCTAACCCATGGACCAAGAGATCATGACCTGAACCAAAGTCAGATGTTAGACAAAGATTCTCTTGAACAGTTTAAGAGACTTTCTACCTCTAAGCACCTACTATGTGTCAGACACTATGCAAAGTAATTTATGTACTCTGCCTCTATCTCAACACCTTAGTAATGAATGGCTCTGTGGCAGTGACCTTGTGTAAAACTGGGCCTCCTCATGGTGCAGTCTCAGCATAAAGTCATCTTCAATAAAATAATGGTCTGGGAGAAAAAAAATTACTGAAATAAATGGCTATACTTTTTTTTTTTTTTTAATTTTTTTTTTCAACGTTTATTTATTTTTGGGACAGAGAGAGACAGAGCATGAACGGGGGAGGGGCAGAGAGAGAGGGAGACACAGAATCAGAAACAGGCTCCAGGCTCTGAGCCATCAGCCCAGAGCCCGACGCGGGGCTCGAACTCACGGACCGCGAGATCGTGACCTGGCTGAAGTCGGACGCTTAACCGACTGCGCCACCCAGGCGCCCCTATACTTTTATCTATAAAAATAAGATCATAGTGAATATAGTTCTGGGGACCTGCTTTTCACACTTGAAATGTTATAAACATCTTCCTATATGAATAAATATGGAGGAGCAGCAGTGTCTTTTTCATAGCTGCATAGTATTCCATGACGGTAGCCCCATTTAACATCTACTCCATGATTGCTGAAAATTTGGGTTGTTTTCAGTTGTCCACTATTGTGAACAAAACTATAATGAATGTCGTTATTCACAGAGCTTTGTACAACTGTCCAACTATTTCTTTAGAATATGTTCCTAGAAGTAGAATTTCTGCATCAAAGTGCATAAACATTTTTAAGACTTTTGATTCATACTGTCCAAATACCTTAAAAAAAGACTGGGCAAATTTGTACTCCCACCAGTAGAGTTGAAAGACCTATTTTCCTGCGTTGTGTAAAATTATTATTATTTTAAATCTCATGTCATTTGTTCTTGCTCCCTGTCTAAGCGAGGAAGTGGCTCAGAGGCATTCCGAATCACAGAGTCTCACAAACTGCTTCTGCATTGGCTCAGGAGAAACATGGTCAGTTGGCTCATAAAGACTGGGGCTCCTGGGGGGCTCAGTTGGTTAAGCCTCTGACTGTTGCTTTCCGCTCAGATCAGGATCTCACAGTTTTGTGAGTTCAAGCCCCGCGTGGGGCTCTGTGCTGACAGCACAGAGCCTGCTTGGGATTCTCTCTCTCACCCCTCCCCCACTCACTCTATCTCTGTCTCTCCCAAAATAAATAAATCCAAAAAAAAATGAAAGACCTACATTCTGTGTCCTCATAACTTAAGTAGCACCAAATGTTTAAAACTGTTCCCTACCACGCCAGTCCCCTTCCTTACCCCACCCCCACCCAGTCTCCTTTCCAACTCTGTATCCCTTCAGGGGGCTTGTCTCACTGCTGGCAGATGCCCGCCCCATGTACTGGCAGAATAGGCACCTATCTGTAGGTTCTCTCTTTAGCTCTTGACAAAATACCTCCACCACCAGGATGTTGCAATGCCTAAAACTTCTTCCACTGGTGGCATACACTAAGCAGTTTCCAGCACATTCAGAGGCTAGCCTGGGTGGCATGATCTAGTAAGTTTTTCTGAGTCTCTCCCATCTTCTTTCTGATGCTCCTCCCTCACCCACTGCCAAGTCACCTGGTGCCTTTGACCATCCAAAGTCTCCATCCTTAGCTCCATTCCCCTCCTCTGACAGAGCCACCTTGAATAATTTTTAGTACCAAAGACCAAAAAAACCTTCCTAGAGGAGAGGATTCAACAAGTCTCTGAATAAAGAGAGGGAGACAAATTCCTGGGGGAGAGAGTCAAGAATGACTTGAGAGAAGGCTTGGTGTGGAGACACAAGGGGTGGGGGTGGGGGGGGTTACTGAAGTTGCTCCTTCCCAGAAGGGAAGAGCTGGTGCTCAATCCATGTTTGTTGTTTCTCCAAAGAATGAATAATTCCCACAGGCACCCTGCATTATTCTCCTTTATTCTCTGTATCCATTTCCTCTCTCCCCCTAAAAAGTGTCACATCTCAGGCACCTCTCCATGCCCTCAAAAGAGGAGAGGAAGATGTGCAAGAACCCCCTCCAACACTGCTCCCCACTTCCCAGAGAGATCAAGGAAAACCAGGCCTGGCTGCCCTTAGCAGAAATCCCCCCCCCCCCCACTTCCCTGTAAACCAGAATAGAGCTCATTTTAATAATAGCTAACCTATTGAATCCTCACACAGTGATAGCACTCTGTTAAGCACTTTACACACGTGATATCACTTAAATGACATATTTATCTTTTTTTTCTTTTTTAATTTTTTTTTAACATTTATTTATTTTTGAGACAGAGAGAGAGCGAGCATGAACAGGGGAGGGTCAGACAAAGAGGGAGACACAGAATCTGAAACAGGCTCCAGGCTCTGAGCTGTCAGCACAGAGCCCGACACGGGGCTTGAACTCACGGACCACGAGATCATGACCTGAGCTGAAGTAGGCCGCTTAACCGACTGAGCCACCCAGGCGCCCCATAAGGACATATTTATCTTTACTTAACTAATGAGAATAGGAGACTCAGAGTTTAAGTCAAGCGTTGCCAAGTAGGAGAACCCAGGCTCAACATCCAGCTTTCTCTAATTTCCACAGCCCAAATGTTTTAAGCATCATATTCTATTGTCTCCACACAGTAGGTGTCTTCACACAAGGTAAAGATAGAAAAAAAGAGAGGAAAAGAGGGAGGAAGAAAAAAAACCTTTACATCGCTGTAATGCAGGGGAAACAGTGTCATTTGCCAGAAACACAATTAAAATGTTGGTCTACATGTCACCTAAAGTTATCAGTTCTACTTGGGAAAACATTGGAATATTTTATCTCTGAGTTCCCTTTATAGTACATAGTTCTAGAGTCTCCAAGGGTTAAATAGGCTATTTTATTTTTTATTAAAAAAAATTTTTTTAATGTTTATTTATTTTTGAGCGAGAGACAGAGACAGAATGTGAGTAGGGGAGGGAAAGAGAGATAGGGAGACGCAGAATCCAAAGAAGGCTCCAGGCTCTGAGCTGTCAGCACAGAGCCCAACATGGGGCTCAAACCCAGGAACTGCAAGATCATGACCTGAGCTGATGTCAGCGCTTAGCCGACTAAGCCCCTCAGGTGCCCCTAAAAACAGGCTATTTTCTAAAGGAAAACTAGATTCCACAGGCCGTGGGCATGTGGGTAGTAAAATCCTAAAGGCAGATGCTGAATCTTATTTATCTCTATATTCTCCATAAACATTTAATACAGTGTCTGGCTGAGGGTGGATTTGTGGAAGATGAATTATGAATTCCTTTCCCCTCTCTGGGTCTTAGTAGCTGGACTAGCTGATCCTTAAGGTGCTTTTCACTCTGCAAAGCATTGGTCCATTGGATTTCAGTGGTTGCTTTCTTACTGGTTGGCTTCCTGCTCCATCACTGCTGCAGAACTCTAAAGATAGCTCTCCAAGATTTCCATCCCCTGGTTATTCAAACACCAATCCAGGTGCTGCTGCTATGAAGGGCTTTTACAGATATAATTAAAGACCAAATTAGCTGACCTTAAGATACAGAGATAATCTCGTAGGCTTAACCCAATCAGATGAGATTTTTTTTTTTAAAGCAATGAGTTTTCAGGGGCACCTGGGTGGCTCGGTCAGTTAAGCCTCTGACTCTTGATTTTGGCTCAGGGCATGATCTCACAGTTCGTGAGTTCGAGCCCCAAGTCTGGCTCTGCACCAGCAGTGTGGAGCCTGCTTGGGATTCTATCCACACCCCCCCCGGGGCCCTCCTCTGCTTATACTTTCTTGCTCTCTCTCTAAAAATAAATAAATAAACTTAAAAGAAATTTAAAAACATGAAAGCAATGAGTTTTTTCCCAC